ACACGGGGCGGGGAGGAACCTTCAGAGATTTTTGTATATGTTTGAAAAAAAGGGGTAGGGAAAAGAAACTAAAGGTCTGTTGTACTAAATGTAAATATATAGATACATATATAAAGTCACTGTATGAAACAAATGTCTTGTTGTGGAGGCACTCAAGGATGGACTCAGACAGGGACCATAACTTCTCTCCCCTCTGCCTCCTTCTCTATCCTGCCTCAGCTTAAGTCTAAAGAATCCTCTAGATCAGTGGTCCCCCACCTTTTTGGCATCCGAGACCAGTGCTCCTATGAGAATCTAATGCCTGATGATCTGAGGTGAAGCTGAGGCGGTGATGCTAGCGCGGGGGAACGGTTGCAAATACAGATGAAACTTTGCTTCTAGCCCACCACTCACCTCCTGCTATGCAGCTCACTTGCTCACTTCACCTCCTGCTGTGCTGCCAGGTTCCTAACAGGCCATGGACCAGCACCAGCCTGAGGCCTTCAAGTTGGGGACCCTTGCTCTAGGTGATATCACTCATGCCCCCATTTATATTTCTAGTCATTACTTTTAATAGTAAATGCTAATAAGTTGGAGCTGCAAGTGTCAAACTGTGCTCTTGGCACTTTACAAAACATTCTGCAAGGGAATTATCCTTCTACTACAGATGGAAAAAGTGACTCTCACAGGGATGAAAGCACTTGTTGAGAGCTGCACAGCTAGAAATATGGAAACGAGGATTCAAGGTACTGCCCACTGCCTCACATCCTCCTCCTCCTCCCCACCTTCACCAGCATGTTACCAGCAATTCTCTGAACAGAAAAGAGGCAGAGACCGAGACAACAGGAAAGCCTGTTTTTGTTTTTACTGGAGGCTCAGGTGGCACATGACAGTTCATAAAATGGCTTCAGAGATCAGGTGTAGAGGGAAAACAAAAAATAAACTGGGGTGGGAAAGAAAAACAACCAGGAGGAGGTAAGAGCTGGCTGGTTCCTTCTCAGCCTGATTTAGGGGAGGGAGTTGGTGCCTCTGAACAAAAAGGATGGATCCCTTCCTTCAACCCTTGGTAGGGGACAGAGAAAAAAAAGTAAAAGCTGTTGCTTTGGCCCTCCTGAGTCTCAAGGATAAAGGGGAAAAGCCGGTGTTTTGATGTCATGAATTATGGGAAGGGGGGGTACTGGGTAGGGTACAGGTCAGTTGGAAAAACTGGCAGATACCTGAGAGAGAAAAAGAAATGGATAAGTCATGACTAGCGACTTAGGACCCAGTCCCCTGCCCTCTTGGCTCCCTGCCCTCAGCCCTCCCCAGGAGGAGCCACTCACCAGATGGTAGCTCTGGGTGTCCTTTGAGTTGGAATCACTCCAGTATAGTGGTGGGGGGGTCCCCACTGTTGATGGGGGCTGAGGTCTAAAGAGAACAGGAGTGGTCGATTGAGACCCTCTTGTTCTTTTAGGCTCCTAACTTCAACCTTCTCTCACATTTTCTCTTTTCATTCCTATAGCTCCTTCCCATTCTTCCCCAATTCACATCCATAACTGATACTATGGATCCAAGTAGAGCTGACACAGAGGGTGACACAGGCTTGACTGCATCTGCTGGGGTTTCCTGGTGGGTAGGGGTGACTGCCAGAGGTGGCCCAACAGTACTAGTTCTTTGGTGTCAGGCTGCTTGAAAGTGGGTAGGGAAGGAGCAGGGGGCAAGAGAGGAGGGAACAGGATAGAGAAGGGAAGGGTAGAAAAGAGAGGGGAAAGGAAGGAGAGGGGGAGGTGGCTCCACAGTAGACAGTCCAAGGTCTTCACCTCCTGGGCTGTGGGCTGCCTGGGTCCAGGGGGCTGCTGCCTTCGGCGCTGGAAGTAGGGGCGGTTTCTTGGGCGCTGGGGCTCAGGCCGGGAACCATCAGTGGGACCTTGGCTGGGCTTGGTCTCGCCATCCCCACCTTCTGTGGTAGGCTGCTGGGGTGGCCTGGGGCGGAAAGGCCTGGGAAGAGAAGTGGGGACCCTGAAGAGAGCAGAGGGCCAGTGCAGACCACCTCCCATCCTCCCAGGACTCCCCAAGCAGAGGTGGACCCGCCAGCTTCTCCGTCCCCAGGAGCCAAATCCCTAGGGGGCCTGCTTCCCCAGGACACCTATGTAGTAATCTTTTAGCTACCCAGCCCTCTTCACCAGTAGCTTCAGGCTTGAGAACTTAGCTCTTCCCCTTCACATCCTCCCGACTCCTCCTGTACTCCTACGCTCCCCCACCCCTATCCAATACTAGATGGTGAAGGGGAAGATAGGGTCTGGAAAAGGAGTCTTACCTTCGGTACCTAGGCCGGAATCTGGGTGGGGGGACCCGCTCATCTCCCTGCTGTTGGTCCCCCTCCAATGGGGCTGTCTCTTTAGATTCTACCCCATCAGTGCCCTGGGAATATAGAGAGGCCTTGGTGAGCTGCGGTAACAGCAGCTGCCCAGGACTCAGGTGTCCAGAGCTCTTCTCAACCCTTGGTTCCACTTCCCCTAGGGACTTTGTGCTCTCTCTCCTCAGGAACTCCCACTTGGGTATTTGGTTCCACATTCCCAGTTCTCCTCACCTCTATAGGTTGCTGCTGGTTGGGGGGCCTTGGGCCTCGCACAAAGCGACGGCGGTAGAAGAAGGGTGGTGGGCGCCTTCGTCTGGGCCTCTGCCCAGGGTCTTCAGCTCGTTCCCCTTCACTGCCTGGTTCTGTCCCACCTGATGGGGCCTCTGCCACCATAGGTGGTGGGGCAGCTGGGCGAGGCCGGGGGATGAATCGGCGGACCCTACGTCGATTGGGGGCATAGCGGCTGCCCTTCACTGGCACCCCTCCGGGCCCAGTTACATTAGCAGCTTCTGCACCCTAGAAAGGAGGTAGGGAGAACTTGCTCCAATAGCAAATGCACAATGTTCCCCAAATGGCTCAAATCATTAGTCTCCCCCTTCTTCCACCTAAATGCCTTCTCCAGTTTCCCTTCAGCCCCTCTAACTTCTTCCTACTCTCCCCTAGTGAGGCAATGGCATATTTGGATCCTTCTAGGAGGGGCCACCTCTGCGACTTGTCTTTTTGAAATAGCTGTTACTGGATCCTCTTGAATTTAAGACTGGAGATGGCTGTGTGAATGGAAAAAGGTTTGGCAGCAACTATCCACCTTACTACAGAGGTCTGACTCTAAGAGAGCATGAGGACAGAGACCCACGTAGAGAACAGACATAGAAGTGCTTGTGAACTTCCAAAAAAAAGCCCATATATCACTCAGTAAGAGATAACTAGGACATGTTCTTTAGGACATCTCTTAGAGCAGCCAATGTTAAAGACAACAATGTCTGGTTGAGGACACAGCTTGAGCTA